GTGTTGTCTTTCTTGAAAGATAAGGCGGATCAGGTGTCGGGATTTAAGAAGGAGGTCGTGGATCCATATGCGATGTTTGTGGAGGGGATGAAGAGCGAGTATCCCGAGTTGTTGGAGGAGGCCATGGAGGAGCTGGAGAGGAAAGCCGATGGCAGAAAAAGGAAATGGGACGTGGCTGTCGCGAGTGGGGATGGGGATGGGGAGGCTGGGGGGTTTAGTTTTGGATTTGGGGGAGATAGTGATGAGGAGGTGCCTTAATTTGGTGAATAGGGACAAAATGGTTCAGGCCTATCTTGGGTATAGAAATTAGAAATATAAACAATTGTATACTGCACTGCAGCGGAGCGCTTCTTTTTTCTAAACAATAATTTTAATAGAGATCATGTTGGTGTGGCTCGAGTACAAGATTCTCGGTGCAATTCATTGCGAAAGATGTGAAATTCTCTTCTTCATAAAACTCGAGATCTTGACCATCCAACTCTTGAAATTCCATGTGCAGACCGATACTCCCTAGGTATTGAAAGTAATTTTGTTGCAGATTCCTTCGGGAACTCCATAGGTATCTTATCGCAGCCCAGCTTTTGCTCTTTTCCAATTTCCAAGAACGCCCAACGCCCATACCCGCTGTCCCCATCCCATCCTCGGTTTCTCCATTTCGCAAGCCTAATTTTCAAACACCAAACACCAAACCCAACAGCCTCAATCTCTGCTTCCCTATTACGGGAAATCAGAGTCACCCCAATCCCACCCGCCATCTATCTATTTCCTCACAGCACCGAAGTTAGTCCTCGCCTTCTTATTCCCCGCAGTTTCTTTTGTATTCGAATCCGTTTCACTATCATCACCCCCCGCCATCCTCTTGTTCTTTTTGCCTTTCCCCGACGAAGCAGATGTAGGCGTCCCATGATTCGACGCGCTCTCTCCATTTGCCTTTTGGAAACTCATCGACAGGGGCGTCGGAGCCATAGCTGCAACCGGTGTTGAAGCACCCGACGGTGCTGGAGAATCCTATTTCCGAAATTCCATTAGTCTTCACTCGAAGTCCATGCCGATTTCCCCAGCTTCCAGGGCTTCATCCCCAGCATGCGCATCAATTGAATTCTTGTATCCCTATTTCCCCTTCTCCTTCTCATCACAAACACGACAAAAAACCTTCCAAGTAAGACTCAACTCACAACATTCAGTTTCCAGCTATGCGAACTCCCACTAAACGGTCTATCCGTCCCCCCCACCGCCGCACTTTTCCTACCCGTCCCAGCACCTCTTCCCACCCCTCCCACACCCGCACCCTTCGCATACCCATCAAACCCATTAATGATATTCCCCTGCGGCGTCTCGTCCAAATATTCAGTTTCCTTCCTGAAAATCGCATCTTCGTTCATGGCCAAAATCCGCTCGAGTTCCCTCTTCCGCTCCAATAATGACTTGAGCTGTCGACGCGTTTTCTCGTAATAAGGAAGGCCCGCCGTCGGGTCCGCAGGGTGGTTTTCCTTCGAGGCGCTGGCGGTTGAGTTGGGAAGTTTGCTGGATTCTGACATGTTGGGTTGATGGTTGAATTGGGTGAGGGATTGGGCTTAAAGCTGAGATCCAATAGTATGGTATTGGTCTTGGTCTTGGGCTCGTAAGGAACAGCGAAGAATACGAGGTGGAAAGCTTAGTGCACGGACTAAAAAAGCGAGCTTTCTGCTCTTATCTGCTTATCGAAGCTTGCGATAATGAAATTATTGGAGGCGTGTGAGTCTCCAAATGGACCAGTTTGTTCTAGAAGTTTGCGGATTGGTTGGTAAGGCTGAGGCTTAACGGAATTATCGCCTGGTGTGGCTGGAGTAAGAATCTCAGATATCTCTATTACCTAGTTACCATATAGATTGAACTGGACTTTGATCGTCTTGGTGTAATGCTCACCTACCTGTTAAAATACAGCAATCTAGAACAGGAATGTGAAGTACTATGAAATCATTGCATGTGAAGCTTTGTTCTTGAACTTGAATTGATTATAAAACTACTATGTATATTGTGGTATCACGGTGTGCAAATAGGAATCCAATCTTGTAAAAATGTTGTAATAAGTATATATTTCCTATGTACCAGATATTACCTAGTATCCCGGACCTGCCTATACCTGGATTGGTTGATTTGTTCCTCAGTGAGCGTTAGCATGAGATATTGAATGTTCAGTGGTGCTCGAAGCTCTCATCTTCTTGATCTTTTCCCTTAACAATCGTTCTCGTAATTCGGCGGCCAATTTCTGCGGATCTTTTCTCAGATTCTGATGTCAAAGACGGGTCAGCGAGATAACGAACGTGAACTTAGTCGGATTTTCTTTCGATACAAAAGAGATTCTCCCCTTGCCTTATGAATCACTACCTACCTCTGCAGGTTCGGCGGATCCAGCTGATTTGGTGGCTTCGGCGTCTCGAGTTGGCGAACCCCTATCGCTTTTTTCTTCAGTATCAGCCCTTTTGTCTCTTCCATCCTCTACACCTGAAGAACTATTTCTTCTTCTTCGGTTTGCGGGTTCATATCTTTGCATAGAGCGACGTCTCTTTCCATTATCGTTTCTTCCATCGCGACCCTCGTCCTTGATAGAGCCCCTACGGCGTCTGGCAGGAGGAGAAGCACTTCGGCTAATACTTCGCGTTAGTCGCCTATCATTTCTGACAGGACTTGGTGATGAAGTATTTCTCTTCCGTGGAGCTGGGCTACGGCTTAATGAGGGAGAAGTGGATCGAGACCTAGATCTAGAACTCGTGTTGCGACGACGGTATCTGCGAGACTTCGGCGGTGGGGAGCGACTTAAAGATTCAGTTGTGGCTCTTCTTCGCTTTCGGGGCGGGGAGCGAGATACCGAAGGCGAGGGGGATCTACGGCGAGGTCTTCTTTCTGGGCTTCTCGCGCGTCCCCTACCACCTCTCCCACGGTTACGTCTATCTGGAGATCTGGACCTCCGTCTTCGAGGTGACGGTGACCGAGATTCTGAAGCTGACCGACTGCGTCGTCTGGGTGCAGATCTTGATGAAGACTTTGACCTTGAAAGTGATCTAGAACGTGATAAAGATGGTCTTCGTCTATCGTCCCGCCTACCACGACCGGCGGGGACGTATGTGTCAAATTCTCTTCGAGGTGGCGGACCATAATCTCTATTGTCTCGCCCTCCGCGTGGTGACCTGGAATATCTTGGACCCCTTCGATCAAACCCTCTACCGCCACTTCGATCAAAATCTCGGTCCCCGCGACCACCCCGCCAGCTATCTCCTCCTCGCCCACGTCCGCCGCGATCGCCACGTTCGCGATTTCTTATTGCATGCATTTCGCGATCTCTCCGTTCACCGTCTTCGCGGCGTCGACGTGCCTCATCCGCAGCCTGCTCGGCTTGTATCTAGTTGCATGTTAGTCAGTACACCCCAAGTCTTAACCATTTGTACCTTTTCTTGTATGAGCTCCAACTTCTTCGCCTCCAGAAGCTCTTTCGGAACGCCTTGAGCATTGGTCTGCGCACTCAGACAAAGTTTCCATAACTCTTTACAGAAAGCTGGAGTATCTTTATCGAGAAAACCGGTTAGTTGTATTTGTAGCTTTTTGATATCCGGCTGGAGTTAACATTAGCTTCGCATATTTTATATTCGAAATGATACCTACATATCGAGAACCCTCAATAAGATTAAAACACAATTCAATAACAACATCATCTTCTGCCCCGAGTATATCTGATATCTTTCCTGCGATCCATCTGCGTTGCACCAAAAAGTCAGCTCGTCATTCACTTGGTCTGCTATCTCCAGTTCGTTTGAACGTACTTTTTCATAACCTCCAAATTAACCTTCTGAAAGTCCACTTTCTGGTTGAATTCAGGTGGAAATTTGGTCGACTTCAGGAGCTTTGCATCAACGGAAGTCATGGTGACTGCCGTTGGAGGATATTGATGTTTGAATAATAAGAAGCGGTTGGGTTTGGGTTTGGATTTATTGTACAAAGTAATTGGAGATAAATAAAATACAGTACCTACCTGGTAGCTCAAGCGCGTTCTACCGGCATATCGTCACACGGCATGTCTCGCTTAGGTAAGCCTTTACTGAACCCATTGGTTCGTTGCAACGATAGGTAGCTGGAGGTAAATAAATGTCCTTTTGTATTTATGATGTTAGCATTATCAATTATGAGGTACTTTAGGTACTTTAATAAGTCCCAAGTAGAAACCACCAGCACTTTTGAAAAGTAAGCATTAGGTAGCTTGAGTTCTATCTATTCAGCTTGAAATGGCCGGCATTCTCACATTTCCCCTTTGCCATATTATATATCTGGAAGGACCCAGGTTAGCTAGTTGATTCGAGCATACCTATATATACTAGATTATGCTCTCAAAATGAGGCAGCAGATCTTTCGGATTCTTCCATGTTTGTTGGTAGAGCATCAAATTTGTTGAAGCCTGAAGGCCCCTTAATGTGTCAAATCCGCCAAAGAGTCGGCGAACTCGGAAAAGGTCCATCTAGACAGCAAAAATATGAAAAAGAGTAGAATACTCGAGCCAAGGATGCTCTGTTTCATTTGGAGTCGGAAAGGTTGCTCTAGATGATTGTAAACTTCCTTGATTCGGAGAGGAGATGGACGAGTTTCTTTTGGTCTTGTGGTGGAATGGGAAGAATCTCGATATGTTGGACGGGAAGTATCCTGGCTACGCTTTTTTGGCATAGACTGCTGAGCAGTTCGGATCGTCCACACAATTCACTCTGCTTATACTAGCGGCATTCGCCCTGTTCGGATTTTCGTCGAAAGAAATCGCATTACATGTCTATAGTAGTTTTTGAGGATATCGGACAAATAATCTAGAGAACAGTGATCTCTTGGATGAAGGCTTGAATTTTATTTTCCATCTCATATTTTTTTGCCCAAAGTTTCATCCATGAAAAAGCTCACCGGGAGTGGTTTTCCTCCGATTTTTCCAAATCTCTCTCTATAAATATCTCAAAGCCATTGTCTTCTTCATCCAACATCTAAAAACTGGCCTGCTGGCCCAATGGCAAGGCGCTTGACTACGATTAAAGGATTCACATCCTCAAATTTGAAATCAAGAGATTGCAGGTTCGATCCCTGCGTAGGTCAAAATTTTCTTTTTGCTGTGGGTTTTGCTGTGGGGGAGGGGGGCTTTCTCGGTAAACGACGTCTAGCGTTGCAGTTTTATATTTTAAGTCCATTGATGCATGCTCATAATACTTCCGTGCCCCGAGTCCCGACTCCCAATCCTGGTCCCTCATCCGCTCCTACGAAGAAACCCTCCAAACCACCATCCTCACCACCCTCCTCCAATAATATCTTACCTCCTGTCCGGACATCACAATCCTCGGCTCCCCATTCATCAGTCAGAGTCCCCAAAATTTCCTTTCTCGTCTTCGTCCGAAGAAGAAGAGAAGTAGTTGTTGCGTATCTATAACAACTTTCTGAGAATTCCATACCTAAGAAATCCTTCGAAAAGCTGACTATATAATAATACTGCCGTCCTTTTTGCCCTACCTCGTTTTCTCACTAAGAGACATCGTATGATAACTATATATTTGAAATAATAATCTCAACCCCTCCAGATGTGTATTCAGGGCTTGAGAATGAAATTTGAGACTACATATCATCCAGTCTTCTTTCTCGAGAAGCTTCAAACTCCTGCGCCTGAGAAATACTAGCGGAGGTAGTCAACTGCAACTTGTGATATTAGCACCATATTCAATTTGCGATGTGATGCCCAGAAGTAAATTTGTTCAGGACAAGAAAAGGTGAATATCAAGACGAACCTTGGAACGTCAACAAACCAGTCACTTTTCCCCTGCATCAGCCATACATCATCAACCATCATATTATTCTCACTCCTGCTCCTTGCCTTGCCTTGACTCAAATCACCTCTCCCATCAATGTCCCTTCACCAAAAGAAAAAACACGATAACTTATCCAGGACCAGTATCAGAAAAATAAGTAAAGTACAGGAAGTAGCAAACCCCAAAACAACAAACTGTATGTAGTCCCATAACAGAAATCTCTCAGTGGGATTCTTTTCTATTCAGGCGTTTCGACTTTCCACCTGATCTGAATGAAACAGGAATGTTTGGCGGCCTTGTGATCTGCATGGTTACAGTTTGGTATTAGGGTTTATATATCTCGTTACAGCATATATAACCTGTATGCCACCTCATATCTCTCTCCTTCTACCCGTCTTCTTTTGAGTCCTAAATTGGAGATTTTTAGGAGAGTAGATCAATGGGATGGGATGATATGATATAGCTCAAATCCACCCTCACCTTATAATCAATCCCAAGCCATCTCACCTCATACAACAAAGTCCAGATGGCTCGATGGTGGCGCGCTGGATTTTCACATTCCCTCAAAGACTTTGTTGGAAACTTCAATTCTTCTAGTTGCGTTTCAGTCTTCCATAATGCGGTACATAGAATCGATTGAAATCTTTGCTTTTTCTTTGGGGGAAGAGGGGGTTATTCAAGGCAACTCGAAGATCATGGGATGAGAGCCATTGGTAAAAAAAAAAAGAAGCGTGTTCTGCTTTTTCTACTCGCACCTGAGAGCTGAATACGTTTTTGTGATTGTTATATTAAAGGATAGATCTGGTCTCTCTACTCGAAAAATCTAATGGGTAGTTGTATTTTGATCTTATTCTACTGCTATGATGGAACTACTGAAAGACATAAATATATCTCGTCTTGATATATGACAAAAGAATATCAAGCTTCTCTATCAAAAATTGGGAAAGTTGGCACCTTTCAAACATGCATTCATACCTCAATGTCTATTTTATTTCAAGGTTTTGGTGTAGATGGATGGAGCAGCTTGTTCTCTGCTGTAAGAGCAAAAATATATTTCTTTTGTGTGTTTCTGTTCATTTACTGAAAGGTGAAATTCAATTGGCAGTATTTTCCCCCATCTGATATACAACAAAGCTTGTTTTAAGTAGAGATTATAAAAACTGTTAAGACTTGCACTGTCTGGCAACTTGTACATCGTTACAAGATAATCAAGCATATTGCAAGATGAGTGCTTTGTGTCTATATGCATCAACTTTCAAGTAGTATCCCAAGTTTCTAGTATAAAACAAGACTGCCAGTGATTGAGATGATTACAGTACTAGACTATTAAAAAGGGCCGAAACGTGCAAACACACCAAAAAAAGCTATTTTTCAACCTTTTCAATTAAATATAACTTTTCAACGAATAGTTTTCTTTTGTTCAAATTTTGTATAATTATAATTATTTATATTATAATCAATTAAAAATTAGCAAAATATTTTTATTGATTTTTTTTTAGCTTGAACCAATTGATTGAAATTGATGAATTTAAAAAGTTCGGATTTTTGATGTTTTTGTTAGCGATTTTTAACATTTTTAGCATTTTTGAAAATTTTCGATTTTAATCTTAATTATCAAGATCAATTAAATTTTTAAAAATAAACTATTTAATTTTTATTTAATTTTATATGAAAATTATTGGGGAATCAGGTCACATGGTTTCCGGTCACGTGTTCAGGGATCACGTGGTAAGCTATACCGCATAGGGTATGGGGGAGTAGCATATAAGGGCAGCTGGGCTGCCACCAAATACATACTCCTTAGTCAAATCAATCTACCATAATTCTACCTTAGTACTTCCCTTCTACCGTATTACTGGTCATCCCAGGATATACGATTAATAAAAATGAATATATATATGAAATTTTAAATTAATTGATTGGAAAGTTATAGAAATAATTTAAAATGAAAAAGGTGAAAAATCGCGATTTTTGGTGTGTTTTGACGCTCAGGCCCTTTTTTATTATTGGTCACTGTACCTCTCCTGATCTGCTCATGTCTAAAAAGTAACAGATGAGGTAGAATCTTGTTAGAGAGCAATGGAAGTACAGACAATACTAAATATCCGTGGATTTTTCAGGGATTTGCACCTTAGACCACGACGCTCATAATATCCTCTTAAGTAGTTTTTAACTCTGCTTGAGAAATAGTCAGCTTAATCAAGAGGTGGCAGAATAACCATAAATCAACGAAGGCCTGAAAACTGTTGAACCAAAAATATATGACCCTCATCAGTTCCGGCACTTTCATTGACAGCGCAAAAGCTAACCTAGACCCCCAACTTCTCATGGCGGGAGAAATAGGGGACAAGAGGCTTAGAAGGAACTATACCAGGCGGTCATGAACCAACCGGCTTTGGAAAAAGTACTTAACAGCACTGTTGTAGCTTATAAAAGACAACAATGTAGTCGGTGAAAGAGTAGGAAGAGCTGGTGAATAAGGCATCAAGCTGGAATACCTCAGTCATTGGATATGACCCATGTAACCAATATGACATTCCATTGATGGCTGGGCTTGCTTGGTGCTTGCTTCATTTTTGAGTAGGTAGGTAGGTAGGTAGCAAAGAGATGAAAGAACAGAGAAACAAGAGATGTCCTCAATGCAAAGATGTAAACAGTTGATTTCATCAATGGAAGTATTGGGTAGTATATATCCTGACTTGTGGGATATCCAGATGACAAACTGGCAAATTTGAGATGAGTATCCAGAGATGAGATGAGATGGGTATCTAGCAGAGATGAATGTCCATATATGAGTGTCCATAGATGAGTGCCCATAGATGAGATGGCTAGCAGAGATGAATGTCCATACATGAGTGTCCATACATGAGTGTCTAGAGCTGTTTATCCACTCAGTATCACCCTTAGGTCCACGGGTACTTAATATTTTGTACAACTAGCCCATATAGTTAGTACCTACCTCACCTACCTACCTCACCTACCTACCTCCCGATATCCATCCTTTTCATGACCCATATCTCATCTGATAGATTCATCCACCCATCCATAGTCTCAATACAGCTTCTTGACTCTTAAGCGCCGGCGGCTACCAATCATGGTTCATAACTCAAATATGCACAGACATTTCTCCTTCTTATGTAAACCCTCCTAAACCTAAATGGATCAGAATCAATAAATCAATTACCGGTACTTACCAGTCCTCCGTAATATCATACACAACAATCAACTTACATTGGATATCACAGCTCAGTGCTCATCATTGATGCTCTGCTCTGCCCTGCCTTCTCATTCTATGCAAATAATAATTTCCGCAATTTAATCAATTAAATTTTAATCCTTGTATCAAATCTCAATTCCAAATCCACCCCCAAAAATCTCAGCAACCACGTTGTCTAATACGCAAAGAGCCACCGACGGTCCGTCCGTTAGGCTGGATAATATTACAGCGGAAGAGCAAGACCACGAATTGAAGTTGGAGGAAGAGATAGATCGAACTCAATCACCACCCCCTAGATACCCCATTTCGGAACCATCGCATTCTACGCCTCCTTCACCACGACCCCCACCCTTTTCCTCCCTCTATACTTCGACTGCCGAAGCTGTCGAGGCTTACAAGGTTGCCGTTACTGAAGCAGGCGCATCTCTAACTGCATCTACTGCTGCTCCGAAATACGTCCCTGTCGCGTCCGATCAAGATCGACAAGCTCACGAACCTTCTACTTCCTCAAGAGACGTCGAAGCAGAAACAAAAGCTGCACTACCGCAAGACACTAAAGGGGAATCTTCAAAAAAAGACGACGAAAACGAACCACCTCCTGCATATTCGGAAGGTTCAAGTCCGCTCGACGGCTTTACATATCTGATGGCGGCCGCTGGAGGAGCTGCGAGTATTATTACTCAAGTGCAGCAAGGTGCAGCACCTATAAATACTCTTGGAGGTAAATTTTGGTTATCATCAATTATCAGATATATTAATTATTGACATTATCTAGATGTCGGCGCAGATGAAAACATCACCATGGATCTCCGGTATGTTATATATGCAATGTATAGAACAGGCATGTCCAAGTACTAATTTCTATGATATAGGGGCACCCGGTTTACACTATCTCGAGATGAACTCCTAACACTTCCCGAATTCGTCCTCCTATCACTCTTTCCCAATGGTTTACTACCTGATGGCCATTTGAGTGCCTACCATGAAGGAGATGCCTTCCAGGTTGATGTCCGTGATGCTCCATTATTTATTCGCAATATACTGTCAAATTTAGACATGCATATAGCTGACACTTTCTCTCA